TATCTCAAGCTGGAGACACTAACATAAGTTGAATCGAAATTAAGATTTCCTACCCTTAATCTAAGTTAGCATTAACTAAAGTCCAATTTAGTTCATTTCTCAAGTATATATATTTAATTAATGAGTTACAACTCAAACTTCACATCCAAGCATTGATCATAGAATAACTGAGAACTTATTGAGGTAGTGAGAATTGATAGTTTTAATTAAATAAAATGAATTGTATATAAATTAAATTTAAGTATTATATTGATTCTGTTTAAAAATATATAATTCAAAGTTTAAAAAAAAAATCAGAAATAGACCACTTTATAACAAGCGCTAACAGAACTTTCTTGTTTTTTTAAATTATTAAAATACGAAAATCTCTCTAAATCTCAATTTAAGGGTATACAATGCTATTATTAAACGGGTCCTGATACTAAAGCCAGGCTCGCTGTATTATTTTGTAGTTAATGGTTTGTATTTACACTTATTTTATAATATTATTTATTATGATATTTACAACTGTATAAAAAAATACATCTAGTAAATTTTTACAATGGATATAATGACATGAAATACTTTCTGAGTAACTACTCAATGGTAGCACTCTAATGATATGTCTATATTAGGAGAACACGGAGCCACCTTCTTTTCAGATGCCTCGGATGGTTATCAGGAATTGAAGAGGAAGCAAAGTTAGAAACGAGAGGGTCGGGATAGTTATGAAGTTTATTATAGAAGAATAGGTATCTGGATTGGGTCAAATCTGAAACATAAGGAACATTAAGATCATTATGGATGGTTTTATTTGTAACAAAGTAAGGATCACTAAGGATTTTAGGAAGGATTTTGGATTGTAAGGATTGGATACGAGAGGAATTTGATAGTTTGGTGGACCCCATAGCTGAACTCCGTAATATTAACACTACAATAATTTAAAAAAAAAAATGTTTATAAAATCTATAAATTTATATAAAATTAATTTCTACAGAAAATAGGCTAGTAATTTATGTGTTGGCCGCACCGCATAATATTTAAAAATAAATAATTTAAAATACTTATTTGGATATTATTACCTTTTCTTATTATTATCTCGCCACCAAATAGTTGACATTCAGTCTTTCTGAATAACTGAGTTATTATGTTTTTTTCATTGTTAGTATTGCCCAAATGCGAGACCTAGACGAGTCTTGGTCTTGCACACCCAGTCTTGGGCTTGGTCTTGGTCTTGCGCAAGAGTCTCGCAACAGTCTTGCAGTTACTTATTAGCTTATTACTATAGAGATATTACTGTAATGTTTTAGAAAGGAGAAACCTAACTAAGCACGAAAGAAAAATTAGAAGAATTAAATGTATAAGCATGTTGGTTATACCAATTCTTTATATATAGTAACTAAAATTGTCGAGTATCAGTATCTATTCTGCCTTAGTTTTTATTCAAACAATCGATTTTTTTTACCAGTTTTGGTCATGGTCTTGCAACAGTTAGGCTGTCTTGGTCTTGGTCTTGCAAAGTGCATTTCGGCAACACTATTCATTATGTTTCAATGAAAGAAAAACGTATTACTAAATAAATGCAGAAAATTTAAAACAAACTTTTTAAAAATGACCTAAATCTAATTAAAACTTGAATAACGCTATCAGCTGCGATAAGAATATAAAGGCAAGCTTGCAACCTGTTGATTCTACCCTGTTACAGTCGGAGAACCGAGAATCGATAATCGAGATTACTAGTTAACCGGGTAATCGATTATTGATTACCCCATATCAGATTCTATTCAAATGTAAAAGTGTAAAAATAATATTTAATTTTAATCAAAGTTTAATACTAATTATTATAATAATTGTTATGAATACGGTAACGGACAAAGTAATGATAATCCCCCGTTTTTTTATTTCTCTTTTTCTTTCATCTTTTAAATATTTCTTAGTATTTCTATAACAAAAATTGTCTAATCTTCTCCTATCAAATCCAAGTGTCCGACATAAGAGGAGAGGGGGTGATGTGAAAAAAGTAAGAAACATTTTTTCAAAACAATTAAACTAATAAAAAAAGTTGTATGTAAATTTGAAGTTATTTCCAAATTTTTTTTTATTAATGTTTTTATTCATGCATTTCTTATATATGTTTACAGAAATAATCCATCAACATTTTTTTTTTTTTACCTTTTCATCAGAATGAAATAAAATAAAACATTAAAATAAATAGCAACATTTTAAAATGTTTTCCTTGTCATATATCTATTCATTGTTATGTGTGTCGGCTCCCATTTTGTCCATTTAAATGTTCCTGTGAGAAAATGATTTTTCCATAAAAATGAAGTTATTTTTTCACATGATAGACTTGAAAATGACTCTATGAGTTGAAACATTGACATAATCCATCCAGTATAGAATTAAAAATCAAAGCAATATCGAACAAATGGCTTTTTAATCCCCATATATATTATTACAGTAATGCTCGAAATCGGTTTCGTGCCAAATATAAGCTCCTGCCATGCTCAAATATCATGAATGCGGTACCGTTGAATTCGGAATTTCACGGGAGGTTAGCAAATCGTACTCTCCGCATTTGTTTTACTTTCTAAAATAAATAAAGTCGATATTTTTGTTAGGCTTCAATATTGGAACGGTGGTAAGTCTGTAGATCGATACAGGACAAAGTGGGCTTTGAAGATTCTGGTACATCAAGACCCGTAACTATCTGTTGAACTATTCGGAACTATCGGGCCCTGCATGGCAAAGCAGTTCGCATCCACACAACCTTACGTTAATTGTAGTACTGTCATGGAATGCATGTCTCATTTCCTCGACTTGAGGTCCCTATAATCGAGAGAGGAGTTTATATTATTTATCGTGTTTTTGTTGGTAAGCCATATCATCGTTGATTCTTCATCAAATCCCAAGATTGGCCCACCAATTTTGAAGATTTCCTTCTCTTCAGGCGGGCAAAATAGTGCAATCACCCTGAAAATTCATAAACACAAGTTATGAAAGAAAACAAACTTTATTTGCGAATAACTCAAAAATTATACATTTTCCTTTCAGCATGTCCATGATTATAGAAAAGATTACTAAATTCCCTACAAAAGGAAAAAAAAAATCATCGAAATCGGACAATTATTAGCAAAAATACAGCTTATTGAAATTTGTAAACATGTTGGTTTCAAACATTAATGGAGTTTTTAATTAATTTTTGTTTTCTTTGTCGATTATATTAAGCAAGAAAGAAATAATATGATTTCTTTATATTATAATACTTTGCATTATTTTATTTTATTATTAATTTGTCATTTGATCACTGAACAATATAATATGCTGTGTAAATGTTTAGCACGGGTCCACTAGTTAATATAATATATTTTTAATTAATCACTGAAATAATATATAGCACCGAAAGCCGATAAAACTATACAATTTTTTTTTTGGGGGGGTGTGGTAGGGTTGGAAGGGAACTTTATTCCGTAAGTCCTTCACACCATAGATTCGCCATTTGTTGCAGCTAATGTACAATTTTATTACTTTTTTTATATTATTCGAAAATGAAGCAGATAACATCATGATGTCGCACAGTGGGACGAGTAAGGGAAAACTCACGACATCAGCTAATTCCGAAAACTGTTTTATTGATACCTTGTGGAGTTCCCAAGAATATTTTCTTCGTTGCAGAATATACATTTTCACTGTTTTTATTGAATAGTTTAATTGAAACAAAAAAAATTTTAGCTGATGTTACGAGTTTTTCCTTACTAGTCCCACTTAGTGCCGTTACACCCTCTAGATTAAATATAATTCATGTACGGTTTTTTTTCTACCATTTTGCATTTTTTAAATGTTTTTTTTTATTAAGAAATATGAATGGACCCTGTTGGTTGACTTACGGTATTGATTGTCCACATCCACTAGCGGATCCAGAATTTAATTTTACAATTACAACAATACAATACAACAATTCTTAAAAATACAATAAATTCCCTTGTATTGACTTTTGTCCCGCTAGTTTGCTCAGATAGCCCACTGTGTGACGAAGCGATAAGAAGGGTTATGTTTTTATTTAGAGATTTTTACCACTTAAAGGCTTGTAAAGATTTTTTTTAACGAACGGCTGCACCGATTTTTAAATTGTATGATTCTAATTATTCGATGAGATCCTGTGAGTCTAGGAAGAGCCAAGTATTTTGTAAAAATTGTTTTAATCAGTACGCTGAGGCACTAGCGGATCCAGGATTTAATTTTGGGAGGGCTTCAGCCCGAAAGATTTTTTTTTCATGTATATAACGATAATTAATATGAAAAAAAAAAGAAAGAAATTAACTACCTATATGAAATGGTGTTTAAGTGGTTCTTGAAGTACTATTAAATGTAATTAAACTAACAAGAATACTTTAAGAGATAGTTTTAATATTTTTTTCCGTAAAACATGGTTATATTTTACCATTTTGGGTGGCTTCAGCCCGAAAGCTCCTCACTCCCCGTAGATCCGCCCGTGACATCAGCTAACTCAGAAACCTTGTGGAGTTCGTGGAATGCCCAAGTATATTTTCTTGATAGCAGAATGTACATCTTTCACTATTTTTATTGAATAGTTCAATTGAAAAAAAAAGAAAAAAGATTAGTCGCGAGTTTTTCTCTACTAGTCCCACTGTGTGTCGTAACATCCTCCAGATTAAATATATTTCAGGCACGGTTTTTTTTTCTACTATTTTTCAGTTTATTCGACTTACGGTATTGATTGTCCACATCTATTTCAGGAAGATGCCAAAGAGGAATATAATCCTTATTGTCCAAATCTTGGATCAATATCGCTCTCGTTCGAATTAGAAATATGTCACACGAATATATACGGTACGGGAAGAATTCAGAAGAGAAATCAGTATTCAGAATATCCGGATGAAGAGAGTAATGAATTACAAGACTGTCTTCGGTGGTGAAAGGTCTCTGTTAAGATAAGCGGTTCATTTGTCGGCAGTTAGTAAAGAGAGAGAGAGAGAGAGAGAGAGAGGAGGTCGAGCGGCTTAAGTAAGCTGTAACAAATTAACTGATACTAAAGTGAGCAGATGAAACCCTAAAGATGGCGGATGTTGAAGAAGGCCATCGAGTGGCAGGTGCGGGGCAGCCCTCGAGCGCTGGAGGGCCGGGGGGCGGGGCGGCACCCCATTGGCGGGGCAGGCCACGCCCCCCGAGGCGATTGGCCGCCGCTGGAGCGGCTGGAGGGCGGTGGAGGCCCTCAGTAGAGGTGATGACCTCGCCGCCTGAGGACAGAGTCGCGATCCCGCCGGCGCTGCTCGCCTGGTGCCCGCTCGTCCCGCCCTGGTGCCACCCCGCCCTCCTCCCGCACTTCTCCGCTCTTCCGAGGTCAGTACCCAATTATAATTCCTTTGTCTTCCAGTGAATGTAGTCTTCTTAGTAGTCTTCAAAGTAGTGTAATAAACCTCGAGCAAAACCTTTGTCTTCGAGTGTGTAGTCTTCATAGTAGTGTAATAAACCTCGAGCAAAACCTACAGATAACGTATCAACTCGATTCATAAGCATTTTATCCGACGAGGCACAGTGGCCCAGTCTATCTAATGGTGGTCTATCTAAAGTGGATCCCGTTATATGTAACGATATAATTGAGAGGGAAAAAAATGGGAGAATAAATAACTGGAAAAAAATATTCTTACTTATATACCTAGAAAATAGGTGAATATATAAATAACTGAATTCATAAAATGTTTCGTTTAAGTTATTAGTAATATTTTTGGTAAATACTCCGATATAAGTAATTAGAAAGAGAAGAATAAGTCGAAAAAAAATACAATTAATATAGATGAAATCGATGGCAAACATTTAAAATTGATAAAAAAAATGTTACTGGTTTGACTGTCAGAGTGAACAATAAATAAATTTTACATCTTTACGTTAAAATATTTACCAAAAAATGTGAGTATAATATATAGAAATTAACCTTCTTTAAATGTTAGAACTGAATTCATAAAATGTTTCGGTTAAGTTATTAGTAATATTTTTGCTAATTATTCCGATATAAGTAATTAGAAACAGAAGAATTAGTCGAAAAAAATACAATTAATATAGTTAAATTGACGGCAAACATCGAAAATCGAGAGGAAGTTTTAATAATAAACGTTACTGGTTTGACTGTCAGAGTGAATAATAAAGAAATTTTACACCTTTACGTTAAAATATTTACCAAAAAATATGGGTATAATATTTAGAAATTAACATTCTTTAAATGTTAGAACTGAATTCATAAAATGCTTCGTGTAACTTATTAGTAATATTTTTGCTAATTACTCCGATATAAGTAATTAGAAACAGAAGAATTAGTCGAAAAAAATTAATATAGAGAAAACTTAAATGTAAACAATTAAAATTGAATATTAGAATTAATATTCGAAATTAGAACGAGAATGCGAAAAAACAAATAAATGACGAAACATCGAAATCGAGACGAAGTTTTAATAATAAACGTTACTGGTTTGACTGTCAGAGTGAATAATAAACAAATTTTACACCTTTACGTTAAAATATTTACCAAAAAATATGGGTATAATATTTAGAAATTAACCTTCTTTAAATGTTAGAACTGAATTCATAAAATGTTTCGGTTAAGTTATTAGTAATATTTTTGCTAATTACTCCGATATAAGTAATTAGAAACAGAAGAATTAGTAGAAAAAAATACAATTAATATAGATGAAATTGATGGCAAACATTTAAAATTGATAAAAAAATGTTACTGGTTTGACTGTCAGAGTGAACAATAAATAAATTTTACATCTTTCCGTTAAAATATTTACCAAAAAATATGGGTATAATATTTAGAAATTAACATTCTTTAAATGTTAGAACTGAATTCATAAAATGCTTCGTGTAACTTATTAGCAATATTTTTGCTAATTACTCCGATATAAGTAATAAGAAACAGAAGAATTAGTCGAAAAAAATACGATTAATATCGTCAGTACCAAATTCTCATTCCTTTGTCTTCGAGTGTGTAGTCTTCATAGTAGTGTAATTAAAGTGGAATAAACCGCGAACCTCCACAAAACGTATCAAATTGATTCATAAGAATTTTTACCAAACTACGGTGCATAGTGGGCTCTTCCAGTCAGTCTATCTAGAGAGGCAAAAGTCAAAATATCAGTAGTGATTTTTTTTAAAAGAAAAATTGCATTAAACGTTTGTGTATACATCGGAATAATTTAAAACAGAAGAATTATTCGAAAAAAATAAGTTCTGATTCATGCATTTCTTATATATTTTTACAGAAATAATCCATCAACAGTTTTTTTTTTACCTTTTCATTAGAATGAAATAAAATAAAACATTATTGTAAACAAATAGAAAAATTTTGAAAATGTTTTTCCTTGTTCATATTCCTATTCATTGTTTTCTATGTTGTTCAGCTCTCACTTTATCCGTTTAAATGTTCCTGTGAGAAAATGATTTTTCCATAAAAATGAAGGAATTTTTTCACATGATATACTTAAAAATGACTCAATGAGTTGAAACGTTGGCATAATCCATCCAGTAAAGGATTGAAAATCAAAGTAATATTGAACAATTGGCTTTCTAATTAGTTGAAAAAAAATACAATTAATATAGTTGAAATTGACAAACATTGAAAATTGAGAACCAGCTTTAATAGAAGATATATAAGTAAGAATATTTTTTTTCCACTCAGTTATATCCATTTTTTACTTTCCTACCTATACTAGGTAAGGAAAGTATTGCAATCGGGTCAAATTTCCGACATGCGGTTTTCGACGGATCTATACGTTTCACAGCCGCCTGCGTTTTTTGAAAGGTGATGAAATTCCCTACAAAACTATATAAAAATCGTTTATTTTGGACAACCATTAACGAAGTTACAGCTATTCAATTTCCAATGTAAGATTACGGGTTCATATCCTGGTGTGAGAAATGGGTGAATGAGAAAAAAAAAAAGATGACTAAGTGAAAGTAAAAAAATCTGTTGCCCGCATCACACAAGCTTAACTATTTTCTCTACTTTTAACAGAAATTATTGTTTGACAATACTAAGCTATGGTAAAAAGTTTTTGATCAGCAATATTAGAGAGTATTGAAATTTTTACACTGATCTACCTTAAGCCGGTTTACATTGCTTTAGTTTATCAAATAAATCAAAATCTTTTCTTTGATCAATTTTCAGGAAAATAAAGTCTAGTTCAATTTTTTGGGGTGTCCCAGTCTATCTAATGGGAAAAAAGTCAAAATATCAATAGTGATTTTTTTTTAAAGAAAAATTGCATTAAACGTTTGTGTATAAATCGGAGTAATTTAAACCAGAAGAATTAGTCGGAAAAAAAAATACAATCAATATATATGGAGTACATCTTGATATACTTTACAATATCTCAATTTTCTATCTAACTACTCCATTCTCAATGTCTTAATTTTACTATTTATTTTCATTTCTTATATAACTTCATATTTCTTTTTTATGTTTTACATTTTATTCTAAGATTCCCATTGTAACACTTATGTCACCCTTTTTGATTATGCTTACTTCATCATTCCACACTTTGTAACGGTTATTATTATTTATCTCTTAGTTCTTACTACTGTCATTATTCTAACAATTTCATTTTACTTTTTTTTTTTCTTTATTAATTTTTTTTTTACCATCGCTACTTATGTTTCTCATACCTAGTTATCTGGTTATTTTCTTAGCCCTGATGATGGCCTGAACTTCAGGTCGAAACGTCGGCATATGTAAAAATAAATATTATCATTTATTTTTGCCTTCTTTTTTTACTGACCACCACAACTATTCTTCTCTTCATTACAATCAATATAGTTGAAATTGACGGCAAACATTGAAAATTGAGAGCCAGCTTTAATAAAAGATATATATATATATATATATATATATATATATATATATATATATATAAGTAAGAATATTTTTTCCAGTGATTTTTTTTCCACTTAATTATATCCACTTTTTTTTTCACTAAATTTCACCTGTATTTATTGTATTTTTTTCGCCTAATTCTTCTGTTTCTAATTACTTATATCGGAGTAATTAGCAAAAATATTACTATTAACTTAACGGCAAGTAATTGACGGCAAACATCGAAAATTGAGAGGCAGTTTTAATAATAAACGTTACTGGTTTGACTGTCAAAGTGAACAATAAATAAATTTTATATCTTTCCGTTAATATATTTACAAAAAATGTGGGTATAATACTTAGAAATTAACCTTCTTTAAATGTTAGAACTGAATTTATAATAATTTCGGTTAAGTTATTAGTAATATTTTTGCTGTTGCTTCGAAATTTGAAATGAAGTTTAGGTATGCAAATTTTAAGAAGCTGTAACTTTACTCGAATTTTTGGGGACCTTATGATATGTATGCTGTAAATTATTTTTTTAAATTCTATTTGAAAACATTGCCTAAATTAAAATAATTTTAAAGTAAAAATAATTTTAAAAAAATAATTACTGAGTTAATTAATTTTTTAATATTTATTTATTGAATATTACAACATTCTGTCATCTGCACATTAAGTTACAGTTAGACAATTAACTAATTTACAAAAATGAATATCTTGTTTACGGTGGAATCTATCTTGTGAAATTTATCTTTTAATGGGCTACAAAAAATTTAACGAACTTAAATTTCTTCTCTAATTAAGTAGACACAATTTTGAACAAAAAAAAAAAACAATTAATTCTTTCGTATTGGCTTTTGTACCACTAGATTGCTCAGGTATAATATTTATAAATAAGCCTTCTTTAAATGTTAGAACTGAATTCATAAAATGCTTCGATTAACTTATTAGTAATATTTTGCTGTTGCTTAGAACTTTGAAATGAAGTTCAAGTATGCATATTTAAAAAAAATGTAACTTTATCGGAACCTCATAGTATATGTACTGTAAATTAATCTCTTAATTCTTTTAAAAAACATTGGCTTGATTAAAATGATTTCATAGTCAAAATAATTTTAAAATAAAAAAAAATATTATGTAAGTTAATTAATATTTTTAAAAAAATTATTTATTCAATATTACAACATTCTGTCAGTTTGACATTAAGTTAGAATTGGAAAATTAATTAAGTTACAAAAACTAAATATATATATATTTTTAATATGTTTAGTTTTTTAATTTAATTTATTAACTAATTATTTGTTTAAGAATAAAATTTTATTTTCTATTTTACGATGTAAACTATCTTGTGAAATTTATCTTTTAACGGGCTAAAAAAAGTTAAAGAAATTAAATTTTCTTTTATCTAATTAAATAGACACAATTTTGAACAAAAACAACGAATTAATTCCTTTGTATTGAATTTTGTCCCGCTAGATTGCTCAGGCAGTCCACTGTGTGGCGAAGCCAAAAGAAGGGTTATGTTTTTTTAATTAGAGATTTTTACCACTTGTAAAGATTTTTTGAGTGAACGGCTTGACCGATTTTTAAATTGTATAACTCTAATTA